GCGCCAAGTGTTCCACTTATTGGCCAAAAATAGATTGTTCCTGAAGCACTCCAAGTGCACCTTTGCACAAACTCAGATATCATATTTGGGTCATGTGATATCACAAGAAGGGGTGCAGGTCGACAACACCAAAATTGCTGCAATTACTGAATGGCCTAGACCTAATACTCTACAGGGGTTACGAGGGTTCCTGGGACTTACAGGCTATTACCAGAAGTTTGTGTTCAACTATGGTACTATAGCTGCTCCTCTCACTGCCATGTTACGGAAGAATTCTTTTCAATGGACTGATGATGCAATTCAGGCATTTGAAACTCTAAAAACGGCAGTGACTACCACACCTATTTTGGGTCTTCCAAACTTTGAGCTAATGTTTGTTATAGAGTGTGATGCATCTGACACAGGTATTGGAGTTGTGCTGCTACAAGAAAATAAACCAGTGGCCTTCTTTAGCCGAACAATGGCAGCCCGACATGTCAGTCTTCCGGCGTATGAAAAGGAGTTAATTGGCCTGGTAAAAGCAATCAAATATTGGCATTCCTATCTACGGGGAAAGAAGTTTCTGGTGCGAACTGACCATTTTACATTGAAATTTTTGCTGGAGCAACGCTCGCTCTCATCCCCTCAACAACATTGGGTGAGTAAGCTGATGCCTTTCGACTTCACGGTGGAATACAAAGCCGGTAAAACTAATACAGTGGCCGATGCTCTATCCCGCCGTGATGCAGACCAGAACAGTCTTTGCGCCATTTCTATGCCTCAGATGGATTTGTTTGATGAAATCTGAAAGGAGCAGCAACAATCGGCTGAAGTTCAACAGCTAATTTCAGCAATCACTAATAGCACTTCTGCAGACCACTGGAGTTTTAAACAAGGTCTTCTTTTCTTTAAAGATCGAGTTTACATTCCCAATGGTTCTCCATCAATTCCTTTGGTGATTACTGCCATTCACAATCAGGGCCATGAAGGCTACCAAAAGACACTACATCGGATTACTCGAGATTTTTTTTGGCATGGAATGAAAAAGATGGTGCAAGATTTCATCCGTGCCTGTGATGTGTGTCAACGCCACAAAACAAATCATTGCAGCCTGCAGGTCTGTTACAGCCTCTCCCCATTCCACAACAAATTTGGGCTGATATATCTCTTGATTTTATTGAGGGGCTTCCCACTTCCAGAGGCAAGAATGTCATTTTGGTGGTAGTTGACCGGTTCTCTAAGTATGGGCACTTTGTTGCAATCTCCCACCCATATACCGCCGTAAGTATCGCTCAAACTTTCTTTGATAATATTTTTAAACTACATGGACGGCCAGAAACCATGGTCAGTGATCGGGATGTCACATTCACAAGTTCCTTCTGAAAGGAGCAGCAACAATCGGCTGAAGTTCAACAGCTAATTTCAGCAATCACTAATAGCACTTCTGCAGACCACTGGAGTTTTAAACAAGGTCTTCTTTTCTTTAAAGATCGAGTTTACATTCCCAATGGTTCTCCATCAATTCCTTTGGTGATTACTGCCATTCACAATCAGGGCCATGAAGGCTACCAAAAGACACTACATCGGATTACTCGAGATTTTTTTTGGCATGGAATGAAAAAGATGGTGCAAGATTTCATCCGTGCCTGTGATGTGTGTCAACGCCACAAAACAAATCATTGCAGCCTGCAGGTCTGTTACAGCCTCTCCCCATTCCACAACAAATTTGGGCTGATATATCTCTTGATTTTATTGAGGGGCTTCCCACTTCCAGAGGCAAGAATGTCATTTTGGTGGTAGTTGACCGGTTCTCTAAGTATGGGCACTTTGTTGCAATCTCCCACCCATATACCGCCGTAAGTATCGCTCAAACTTTCTTTGATAATATTTTTAAACTACATGGACGGCCAGAAACCATGGTCAGTGATCGGGATGTCACATTCACAAGTTCCTTTTGGAAGGAATTATTCCGGTTGTGTGGAACTAAGTTATGTTTTAGCTCGGCTTATCACCCGCAATCAGATGGCCAAACGGAAGTGACCAATCGAACAGTAGAAATGTACTTACAGTGCTTCATAAGTTCTCAACCCAGCAAATGGTGTGATTGGCTTTCTTGGGCAGAATTTTGTTACAACACAAGCTATCATACTTCCCTTAAGACTACACCATTTGAAACTGTATATGGAAGACCACCACCAAGGCTTCTGTCTTATTTTCCTGGCAGATCTACTATTGAGGCTGTGGATATTATTCTTCAGCAACGGGATTCAATGTTACAAAGTCTCCGCACCGACCTTCAAGAAGCTCAAAACAAAATGAAATTCCAATATGATCGGTCGCACCGGCCGTTGGAGTTTAAAATTGGGGACAAGTTTCTGCTCCGTCTCCAGCCATATCGCCAATCTACCTTAGCTTCAAGGAAAAATCATAAGCTTGCTGCAAAATTCTTTGGACCTTTTGAGGTCCTGGAACGAATCGGTTCAATGGCTTATAAATTGAAGCTTCCAGCTGAATCAAAGTTGCACCCTGTTTTTCATGTCTCAACACTCAAACCGTATCATGCAGGCAATGATGGTTTTGAGACAGTACTTCCACCTGTCGCAGGTCAGGAACCACCAGCTCCACTTGCTATTTTGTCCACTAGTTTTCGCGCAGGTCAACTGGAAGTTTTGGTGCACTGGAGCCAGTCTTCCCCAGCTGAAGCTTCTTGGTAAAAGGCTCAGGATATGCTCGAGGGTTTTCCAAATTTTAAGCTTGAGGACAAGTTGCCTATGGGGACGGGAAGTATTGATACAAGGCCACTACAGGTGTACACGCGTTACACCCATAATCAGAGGAAGCAGCCACGTGTACAGCCTCATGAAGATGTGGAAAGGATTAAAGATTGAAGGCTGACCAGTTCAGTTATTAAGCTATTCTTAGTTGTTGAATTTTTCTTTAAGCACTTGTTCATAATTTCCGTATTGTAAGGAGGGGATCTCCACTTTTAGTTATTTCCATTATCTTTGGAGGATATGTCTCCATGATCAAGTCATGATGCCATTGATGTAGCCATGGTTGTTATGCAACCTGTATAAATATTCAATAATCATCAATGAAGGGATCCACTTGGAAATCATTACAGTTTGAGTACTTAAAGTCAGAGGTTTAAGGTTCCCTCTAATTGAGTCTTATATTTCTTCAAGATAGGTCGCAAAAAGAATTCCACGTCCTCACCCACTCAAACACCTTCCACTTCCATCCACGAAAGACCCATAACTAGATCGCAGGTTCGGGACCGTAACATATTCTAATTTTTTGGTTCTTCTATTTAAGGGTAATAAGAACCTGCTGAATGCTGTATTTTCTCCTTGGGTAGAAACTAGGTCAATTTCTTGCGCTTCTTCAGCATTGTACTCATCAGAGATTGGTTCCATGAGGTCCTTGTTGTTGCCTTAGCTATTTTGATCATTAAAACATGAAACTTCTTTCTCCTTTTTACCCTTCTTAGGTCACTAGCATCTATCAATGTGGTTCTTCCCCAATCTAAATGATCCTTCTTGCGTAACTTCCCATGAAATTGGCTATTCAATCTTCATTGTTCACCATTCAAATCAAGAGCATTTAGTAACCACTCTTCCAATCCAACTCGTGCCGCTCAATTTGCGGGTCCAGCTTCATGAAAAGGGTTCACATTCTTGATTTCATCAATCTCAAGATCCTCCTGAATCTCGAGTCTCCATCAATCAAAAGATCCTCTTGAATCTAGAGTCTCCATTCAGGTTTCCACGGGTTCCTGACGCCGCTAGGCTTGTACAGCCCGGGTCACATCTCAACCATCTCTGTTTGTTGGGGCTGATTGCCTCTACTTTGATCTATACCTCTACCAAGCATGGTTTAGAACAAGAAAATAAAAGAATCATGCAGTTTAGGATCTTTCACACTCTAATACTACTTGATGCAGGGGAAGAATATACGGCAATTAATTCTCAACAATCAGGCTAGAATATGGTGACTTTGGTTGGAACGAAATAATATAACTAGTTTCAAAGAAACCCTTAGAATTAAATTTTTGAATCCATAAAGAAAAAACAATATCTAAAATTAATTGTTGTTGTCCTATTTATATTAGTTAGGACAAATCCTAATTCTATACTGAAAAATATTCCTAATTAGCTAGTACTCCTAAACTGAATAGTATTCTAATTTAGCTCTATCCTAAATAAGGAAGGAAAACTGAAAATTATTTCCTGATTAATTAACATTCTTTTAATTTAATTAAGAATCCTAAATAACGAAGGAAACTAAAAGAAAACTTCTTAATTAGTCTTTAATTTAATTGCTCTTGTTTTTGTTTACCAACACTATTGTCATAGCTTTCACCACCAACACTAGCTATTACTATCAAAAGTATCATAACAACAACCAACACATGCATCACTTTGACCATACTTCATCTTAAATACCTTGTCAGAATGAATTGATAAATTTGCTGTTTTAATATACTAGCTGGATTTCCACTAATGAATTTCAATTTCGTGTCTCAAATTTCCAATGCTTAATTTTAGGTTCATTAGACAACACCCAAATTAAATCTAACCAGGTAACAATCAAACTTCATTCTATCTTCAACCGCGTAAATTAGATCCTCTAAATAACAGTGGTCAACAGGCTTTCCAACCCTCTATTACCAGACTCATAAATGTGAAAAGTATGAAGAAGATATGCATGAACAAATTACTAAGGGAAGCTCATTAAATCAGAACATACAAATGCCAATTACGTTGACATCAAGTCAAGTACTATTCAAATACACATAGGGAGAGAGAAGATGGAGACTCATTTACACATTAAAAACTGTGTAAGATCCAATAACACGTTATAGTAAGGATATTGCATTTGTGGCTGTTAATAGATCCATGAATTGATAGTAGTAGAGATAAGCACATGAGAATTGAGGAAGACTAAGCATATCCAAATTTTACGTAATGATCGAGCTCTCAGAATTTAAATTCACATCAGTTTTGTAAAGACAAACTCACCAGGGCAAATTCAACAAAAGCTATACGACTTGAATGGACATGATCCCCCAAAAGCCTCAAGCGAGTAACCTGAATAAATATAAATATATATATATATGAGAAAAAAAGATTGGATATCTTTACAGCTACCTATTTCTGTCGTGGAGACTAGAGAATGGATATATTTTGGTTCTGTACTCACCTCACCACAGGTTGATTCAAAGAAATTTTTAACTTCAGCTTGAGAAATCTGCACTTACAATGCAACATTAAAGGTAACAGATCAGATCAGTCTGAAAGAATTAGTTGCAATTGGTAAGCCAAAACATAATGACAAATATGAAACATGAGCATGAACAACAAAAAGCAAAGAAGAGAATACTTCCACCGTTATATATGCAGGTTTTTACCTTTTTGTCAATATTTGTACAGTATACTGTCCTGGTACACATCTCCCGTTCATCTTCCGACTATATTCAGTTAGAAATTTAGAATCATCAGAATGCGATCTATATGGCATACAAAGACAGTAGAAACTTGCAAAAACTAACCCAACCAAAGAGGGCAAAAGACACTTATTCATACCCTAGGGAGAAACGTAGGATTCACTGGAAGGATTGCAGTTTTTGAAGGTAAGACTCTAACTGGATAGTAACCAAGCATTGTCCCACCAAGGTTTAAAGCTGCTCGTGCACCTTCTGTTGATAAATTAAAAATCCAATATCATAAGTATGATGGAAATAATTAAAATAAATTTGAGCAAAAAATATATCAAATACTTTCTCAAAGCAGATTTTAACTTACGCTCATCAGCAAATTCCACAAAGGCAAAACGAAGAACTGAATGTGGATCTCCACAGACTCGGCAATCAACAACCTTTCAGTTCAAGTTAAAAATACCAGTAAGATCTCCAGACCAAGATAATGTGAAAATGCATGTAGTTCAAAGTTAAAGGCAATGGTACACAGCCAAGGATAAAGTACTTCAGCATAATTCGGTGATTTTCATAACCTTTTCATCAAGTATTATCTAACGTCCGATGTAGACTCCCACAACTGGGAAAGATAAAGTTTATAATATCTATGAATTTTTTACTTTTATTAGCAATTCTATTACTTAGAATGCTAAGCCTAATAGGATAAGAATACTCTTTAGCTCAATGAACACCGTTATGTCCTTGCAGTCAATTAGTTATTTCGGTGATAAAAAGGTTACAATTTGCTTCGATAGAAATCATTCTTGCCTAGATTGAATTTTGTATTTTCACTTTCGTTAATTTTCCTCCATGCGATCTTTTTCCTATTTTGCCGTCGAGTGACAATTCTACCAAAAGTAAAGTTTCAGTCTTTTATAGTTCGCCAAATTCCATTATTGATCATCTCCAAACTAGGGAGCTGGTTTCTTTAGTCCTTCACCACTTCGATAACATGGATACCAACAGGTCGAACAAAAGACAAGCCCAGAAATAAAAGAAAGACACTGAAATACTTCTGATGAATGTCAAGGTGTTGAACAACCACACATCAACAACAGAACAAAAAAACAGAAACAAAAAATTTACAGAACTTCATAAAGATAATGGAACACAATGTAGGAATCAAAAGCATTAGTACGGTTATGGGTGATAAAAAACAAGTTTATCAGGAACCTTAACCAATGACCCATGTATTGCAACTCATTAACGATAGTTCCAGTTTGTGTCCAAAGCCCATGAAAGAACAAAAGGCATAACTTGACCAAAGAATATATACAAGAAACTGATATATAAAAAAAATAAGTAAACTCTTGTATATAGAGAAGTTAGCAACTATGCAAAGGACATTTCTCCAACAGATGTTAGGTGAAGTTTTCTTCCTTCATGTTGATTAAATGTTAAAAAATTGACTGATCAAACTTCCTTCAAAAGATAGGATGAGTTTGCGACATGAGATCAAAATAAACTTAAAGGAGATTTCACTGACACACATTCACTCATGAAAAAAATTAGTGTCAGACTTCAGTTCAGCATGGGCCCAAAACAAAGTATGTTGAGGAAAGAGGAGAAGCGGAGAAGGAACAAACATCCAAGCTCTGCAGCATGGATCTCAATCTCAATGATTATGCGAGCATTGGCATTTATTACAGCCTCCAAAAAGGAATAAATACCACCATGTCGCTCAGAAAATTTATCACAGGGAAGAAAAGATATACTGAAATCACACGTGAAGCTGGAAGATAAATAATGCTAAAGCTTCACGTATTATTATAAAACACCATACTTGGTAACATAAGCAAAGATAGCAATTTCAAAATGATAATAAACAGTAAATCCCTTAAGGACACAAAGCACAAATGTACTGCACACATATCTTGTACAAAAACAAAAAATAAATTACAATAAAGTAGGAAAAAAAATTATGTAGCATATTAGGAAAAAACATCATTCTATTAATGCTTCAAGCAGATTTTACTCAAATTCACTACATCTCAGTTGTCAAAAAAGATTTGGATTCTGAGACTATTCCTAAACCGACGCAAGCGTGCACACAAGTGAGCGCGCGTGCACACACACACACACACAAAGAGAGAGACAATGCAACTTACTTGTCCACAACTACTAAACAAGCCAGCAAGCCGCTCTTCAGTTACCTAAATCAAACAGAAATGCTTTTCAGATGATAAAATAAATATTCTTATGAATGCAAGACATCAAGATGACTTAATATAGCTACATACATGTTGATCTATGTCAGAAACATATATAGTTCGTCTAATACTATCCTCCTGTTGTGCTCTATAAGCTCTCCCATTCAGCCTCCTCTTCCCCTGGTTATAGTTATTTCTTCTCTGAAAATTGAAAGTTAAAATTCAGCAATTGCAGCCAAGAGAAAGATGAACAAAAGCATATAAATGTCAATAACATAGAAGATAATTTCCTAAGATTTTTTTTTTTTTTTTTTTTTTTCGTTCTCCATTGACAATGCCATATATTTTTAACAAAAAAAGTTATCTTACATCATTAGAATTTGAAATTTCAACAAAAGAAAACAAAATCTCTGATTGGCTGAAAATAAGAGCTGATTGATTAAAATTCAGAACAATTAACAACAAAAATTAAAAATAATAGGAATAATATACAGAATGAATCTGCTAAGGCCAAGCAACACTGTTGATAATTTATCAATCAAAAAAAAAAAAAAGGCAATTAATTTTAGAAGGGGTAAAAGCAGCAAGAGAAAACCAAAAGGCCAACAGCAAAAACCTGCCTCATAATGAAACCCTACATGACAATTCAGATATATGAAGGTGCATTTCAACAAAACAGTGACCAATTTTAGAATGCAAGTGTAACATGATCAATTGTTATAAATGAATACATATTGATCAATCGTTAACACAAAAAAATTGATACAAGTGATACTCAAAAGCCCATTTAAACTCGAGGCTAAAGTTTACCAATTCGGAAACCCAAACCACATCGTTAACTATAATTTACTAAACTAGGGAAGAGCCAAACAACCCAGCAGTCCAACACATGATAAAATCAAATTAGAAATGAAAGAGATCAAAACCCATAAATAAATCAAAAGTAAAAAAACTAAAAAGAAATTAGAGAAAGAACCGAGTACAAACATTTTAAAAAGAAAATTGAGATCAAAATGCATACGATCAGCAACAGCAACAGAACAGTACCCTTCGATTAGTGGGGAAATTGTCATTGGCCGATTGCTTATTAGGCAGCACAGCAAAATTGTTCAGATTAAGAAGGTTTTGGGTCTTATTCTTATTATTGTAAGAAGAAGGGAAAAACTCTTTTGCCAAAGGATTCAATTTCGTGAACATATCCACAAGATTCTGAACACTGAATTCTGATTCCGATTTAGGCTTAGCATCGGAATCTAAATTCTCAGTGTTATTATTATTGTTATTGTTATTGGTAGCTGCTGCAGCCTCACCGGTGATCTCAGCAACCGCAGCCATAAGAGAATCAAAATCAAAAAAATATATAATATAAATTAAAATTTTTTATTTGAAATCGACAGATGAACAGAGGAAAAAACAAAATCAAAATTTTTTTTTTATTTTTTGGTTAAATTTCTGCTTTCTCTCAAAGTGAGAAAATCTGATTGGAATTGGGGATTGTACAGAAATGTTAGGCTATAAATAGAGAACCATTAAAGAGAAGAAGATGACGACAGACTGATCGAAATAATTAGGATAAAACCAGAAACGGAAAGAACAGAAAATGTATGAGAGAGAAGAAGGAATTAACTGATTATTATTATTAAAATTATTAAATTTAAAATTTAAAAAAAAAAAAGGAAAATAAATTTTTGAGAGAGAAAGTTAGGGTTTTGGGTATTGAGACTTTGAGACTCGGAAAGAAGAACAGTTGGCCTTGGCTTTGGCTTTGTTTTTTTTTTTTTTTTTCAAATAAAAAATGTTTTCCTTTTTTCGTTTTGTTTTAATTCTGATAATAATGTTAAAAATGAGAGGGACAGCTAGTGTAAAGATGACTTAGATTGAGCCCATACTTTTGTAAGTTTGTGTTTGGATTTCAGTTCAGATTTTTTTACTACTAGAGTTTAACTCGTAGCTTCAAAATTACTCAATTTTTTTCTTTTTCAATTTTCCAATCGATTGTATTTATGACTAGGGAAATTAGTTTAAATAAGTTAGGTTTGGCACCAATTCGGCCCAAGAACCCCCAACCGACGATTCCACTTCTCCATTTATCATATTTTAGGTTGTCACTCCGTGGTTGGTTCTTCGATTTGGATGGACTGGAGCTACAACCTTAAGGTATTTAATGTCTTCTTAAGGATTGTGTGTGTTCATGGAGAATCCAACCGAATCAAATTAAATCATTGAACCGAATTAAAATCATAAAATAATTATTTCATAATAGTTAGAATTGGAACTGGACAAAAAAAATAGTGTTTGTTTTCTAGTTCTGATTCTTACTAAGAACCAAACTGGAATTAAACTTATAATGCCCCAAATTCTAGGTCACGAATAATGTCATTTCCAGATCATGAATAGTTGTCTCGGAGAGTCAATAGTAATTCCCCACCCGTGGGTAGTACTATTTATTTTATGTGTTAGTACTTAATTTGATAGTATAATAAGTTGATTTAGATGATTTAAAATTCATATGCCAATTCAGGATACGGAATTAGATAAAATTATTGAAAAAGATAAATAATGCCTATGAAGGGGCATAATTATGTGTGTATGGGTACTTTTATAATTACGTGTAAAGAGATGGGGAATAGAGTAATTCATACTAAGTTAATTTAATATATAATCGAATGCAAATAGAAAGTCTAATGGTTAAAGTATAAAGGAAAAATGCTCAAATTGTCCCTCAAACTTGTATTCAACATTCAATTTGTCCAATTTTCACCTTTTTGGCCAAAAAAAAAACTCATTAAATTGCAAAAATTGGATCAAATTACCCATTTTTAGGCTTGGATCAGCACGTGTGTAAATCATAGCACAAGAGGCATATAAAGAGAGTACTCTTATATCTATTCCTACAAAATAAATTTTTTTAAAACACATTTTCTTTGAAAATAAAAAGAATAAGATGAAAATAAAAATCAACGGCTTATAGGACTGATGGTCCGAGTCTACGAAATTTGAGTTGTTTGACCATATTTTCTGGTTTTCAAGGATTTCGCATCGAAACTAGGTCCGAAAAGCGCATCGGGTTTGCCCGAGATGCGTTATAATGCATTGTCTCATTTTTCATGCCGTCTAGTCTGATTCTGTTATAACGATTTAGCACGAGGCCCATCAGTGGCCCGTGCCACCTGGGCTCCAAATTAGGGCCAGCTAATCGCACCTTTTGCCTATAAATAGGCCTAAGGTTAAAGGGTTAAGGTTGAAAAAAATATAAGGGAAGAAACTCTTGCATCTTTATTTCTTAAAGCTTTTAAGCTTGATCTATAAACAAGTTTTATAGAATCAAGACCTAAAGGCTATTAGTTTTGATAAAATATCCTTAGATCTTTTGATTATTTTCCAACAAACACTCAACTAAACTACTGTAAATTGGATTAATCATCAAGTACCAAGGATTTTGGGTGTTTTAGCCATTTCCAATCAATCTTGGATTTTTTTCTTCAAAGTAAGGTAAATCTAAGAGTCCAATAGATTTTGTTTCGTCTTTCTCTTCTCTTTGGTGATCAAAGTCACTTTTCTTAAGTTTGGTTGTGAGGAAAACTATGATTGACCAAACTATGATGTCTGCATTAATGGTGGCACACGCCACTACTAAGTAGCCAAACAATTATTTAAGGCTTTTCTAGGTTCTGGTCTAGGAAAGACCTGCACGCCATTAGTCTTATAACACACATCACATTGTGTGGTGCACGGGACTTCAATCCAAGGATCCAAAAGTGAAAAATAAGCAATCTAACCACTACAAGAAAAAAATAAATTTGCGACAAAAAATTTTATCGCTAATTCTTAATATTTTGACTCCAATTAGTATTCATTATCAAAATAGCAACAAAAATACCTTTTGTTGGTAAATTAGCATAAAATTTTATCATTGAATTTGTAAGTTTTGTCGTAATTGTTTGAAATAAAGTAGATAAATTTGAAGTTATTTTATTGAAATTTTGTCGCTATTTGTCGCTATTTTTTCGAAAAATTGTCTTTATTTTGTTGTTAATTTTATTGTATATTTTAATAAAATGAAATTATTTTGTCACTAATTTAATGCTATTTTGTCACTAATTTAATGCTTAAATAGAGATGATACTAGTTTATGAACAATAGGAATGGGATCAAATCTAACCAAGGAGCAGTAGATGAAGTGGAATTAGATGGAGGAGTGATAGAGGTTTGTCTCAACTGCATCTGAAGATGTTGATGAATATGTGCAACCATATTAGATTGCTGCTACACCAATCTCTCTAATACGACTATCCTTTCTGCCTGAGCCTGAGACGACTCATTGTCTCGATAGCTGAAGATGAAGCATGTAACACCCACCGCCCGATCCCGAAAGACCCGACGGTGGATGCCACATTCGGTGCTGGAGGCACCGTCCTAAACTACATAGAAATCGTAAGATGAAAGTGGAATTTAGATTGGAGGAGTGATAGAGGTTTGTCCTCAACTGCATCTGAAGATGTTGAATGAATATGTGGCAACCATATTAGATTTGCTGCTACATCCAATCTCTCTAATACGACTTAATCCCTTTCTGCATGATGCCTGAGAACGACTCATTGTCTCGATAGCGAAGAATGAAGCATGTAACACCCACCGCCGCGATCCCGAAGACCCCGACGGTGGATGCCCACATTCGTGCTGGAGGCACGCGTTCCTAAACTACCATAGAAATCATACAATCATATTTGATGATATTAGAAGTGGACTTAAGTCCTTCACAAAGTTTAGGCAAGTAATAATATATATATATATATATATAATATATATATAATATATATACTATATATATATATTATATACTAATATATTTTTTTTTGTTTTTTTTTTTTTTTTTGAAAAATGCTTTGGGAGAGTGCCTACAGAAAAAACTGCAAGAGTTTCCCTAAAAAAATAGAAAGTTGGCCAAACAATGATGAATACAAAGCACTCCCAAATTCAAATCTGCCAAACCCCATCAAACTCCAATAACAACACAATAAGCACTTCTATAATTTCAATAACTACATAGTCCGCAATAACATTATTAAAGATTCAAATCAATTTCAATACATTTCATGTAAACAATTAACTTCTATTTATCTCCCAAATACTCCCAATATATATATACCAACAGAATTTACAATAACATGCTTAAGTCATAAATTAAATAATATAGTCTCCAAAAATGTACTACTTATACATGCCACAATTCTTAGTTACATAAAATACTAATCAACTACCAAAATATCTCTTCAGCTCTGATGCTACTCTTCAGGTCTTTAAGCAGCAAGCACAATCTTCAAACTGTGCGTGATAAAAATCAACACGCTGAGTGGATGACTCAGTGGTGCTAAATAACTAACAATTAAAATAACAAGAAATAGCCAAGGCAAAACTCGCAAGTGCTTTAATTATATAAATACCGAAATTGCATTAATGTAGTGAAAATAATGTAGTGAAAACACTGTGAAAGCAATAAGAAGATTATAAATACAAATATGTCGTCATTCTTTTATAGCAAAAATAAAATTTCACTCTTTTAGTTAAGGCTCGTACTAATACAGAATGAATATGTGACATCCCGACCCGGCAAAGCGATCCTAGGATGGCAGGCTAGTTAGGGTATCGTGGCCTATGGAAAGTGCCACCGCCCCTCACACAATCGTGGACCTATTGCCTATTTATAAGGGTTGATAACCCTAGCATATGATCATAGCTTTGTATAACCAAATCAATCTCATCATACCACATTTCAATCATGCATAGTAGAGCCCAAGCAAAATCATTCAATCATGCATAGTAGAGTCCAAATCAAAATCATTCTTTCACAAAGGACTTTATTACTTACTCAAAATTCTTAATCAAAACACTTCATTACTTAATTCCCATCATTTCAAAATTTCTCAACTTACAACTTACAAAAATTACTTAAAGATAGTATATATTTAATAAATCAAGAAATTTTCGGCATTTTCATAAACTTGACATTTGCTAGGTTTTTAAAACATAACTTGAGTTATGGGGCTCCAAATTGAATGAAATCAGAGTCATTAGAAAGATGAGACAAAATTCTACAAATGTTATGAAGGGACCACAGCCCAGATCAATCGGTAAGATAGCAAACAAAAGCTAGGAACACAGACCAACAGATCAGACCTGACCTGATTCAGCAGAACCAAGTCCAATGTTTATTGAATTCCTATTCAACCAAACACTCAAATTAAACCAATCCAGAACGAGAGAAGTCTCAAGATTAAACCAAATCCAAGAACGAAGAGAAGGTCTCAAGACACAGGGAAACAACTTTATGAAAGAACTCAGAACCTAATCTTGTCATTCATAATGGTCAAAAATGGGCACTGTGAGAATCTCAATTCAGTGAATGTGGCCCGACATAACAGAGTCAGTTTGGGTGTTTCAATCATAAGTTGAGCTATATATCTCCAATTGGACATAAGAGGATGGGTTGGAAAGCTGAGAAGTAGATCTACAACTTTTATGAAGGACTCAAACACAAATGAAAACTAGAAAGTATCGAAAAATGGTCCTTAATCTCACTCAATAACCTGTTTTTCCCAAATTCAGCTTTCTTCAACCATGAAAAGAACATGAAAGACATAGATTCAAGGTAGAGGTTCTACCACATACTAAATACTCATCAAACATCACCCAAGAGCATGTTATTGCAACCAAAGTTCAACAAATCAATCATTTCATACAAAAAAATTCAACCAAAATTCAATCATTTA